AGAAACTGCCTTATTTTCTCTTTTTAAAAACATTGCCAAGATGAGTGAGCATCAACAAGTGTGCTTGAAAAAGGCTTTGCTTGCGGGAGTAATTCGATGCACTGATCCGGTTGCTAATTCAATTACGGTGTGTTTCTGAGGCCGGGTTCCATATCTCCACATCTCCATATCTCGACTCGGCATTCCTAATCATTTGTTGGTCATGTTATTCCAGCCCCCAACTTCTGGGATCCAATGCAGCAGCAGTTCGTTAACGAGCTTTTGATACACTTTTTCCCCACACTGACCCCTGACATGATTTCAGTTTGATATGGGTGCGGGAAAGTGCTGACTAAAGGCCAAGGCGAGGGCTCCAATAAAGGCGTAAATTAATTAACAATATCGTATTTCCGAGCGCCGCAAGTTAGCTCCGCAAACCACCGTTCATAACAAGTCAAATTCCGGGGGAACCACCGCCCCCATGCTTTGCGAAAGGATATACAATAAGTATATCCACGCCATATGCGAGTTTCCTTATGTTTATTTGCATAAGTAGCTCAGCTCGCTGCTGGGTAAAATGGAGTGGCGTCGCCTTTCCACATCCATATGCGTGTACAAATTACGGCCAAAAAGAATGGTTGGCTGACAGACAGCCTGGCTGTTGGTTGTTGGCTCTAAGGGGGCTGCGAGGCCAAAGAGGTCGAAGGGTAAAAGGGCACGGGGCCGATTCAACTAGTTGAATGATGTCCTTAATAATGAAGGAGCAAACCAGAACCTTAAATAAACACGACCGCCTCGAATCCTCGAATCGCCCATCTCGCATTACGGATGGACTCTAAGCGGAAATATTTGTTTTCAGACAGTTTTATCTTTCGGGTCAAATCATATGTCATCTTTTGCGTATTTATTTTGCTGGCAATAAATTTTGCAACAGCAACAGCCTCTCGACGGGGGGAGAGGTGAGAGTTGGTGGTTTTTTGGGGTCCGAACCCCTGGCAGACAGGTGGATGTGGATGTGAATAGGGGATGTGGGTGTGGATGTGGGTGAGAGGATATGGAGATATATAGGTTGGCGTGTGCTGGGGTTGTCCGGGCCACATTATTAAGAAAGTTTCCAGCCCGTTGTCGTCTCGCCCTGTCGGCAATGAAAATTGCGGTTTATGTTAATCACGGGACAGACGAAAAAAGCGAGCACCGAAAAATTGACAAATTGCTCCGAATGCGAATATATATACGTACAAATTTATATATATGTATCTACGTTTTGGTAAGTCGACGTTCTAGAGGATTGATTTATGTGTGGGCGTGTGTGAGATGGCGATGTTCTCGGGTGTGTGGGTGTGTGGGCGTTGGGCGTTTGTTGCGGTGGTTTTGGGGGCGGTCTTGTCCTTGGGCTTTCCGCTGTCCCGGTTGCAGACAATTAGGCAGACTGTTTGTCAATCCATCCGATCCGCTTTCCCTTTCTCCCGGCGACGCCTTCATTCAAATTATAGCACGTAGCAACGTGTTACAACCTAATTAAAATTAAAAAAGGACTTCGAGTCCTTGACACGACCACCCAGCGGGGGGTTACCAAGTCCTCGGGAAAGGGGAAGGCAGGGGGGGGACATTCAGAAGAGCCAGCGATACGTCACACAAAGTCAAAATTCGTGGCAGCCCTCCAGCGAAACGCCACTCAGACATGGACGTATCCGTAGCACACTTAAAAAAAAGAGGATTAGGCTGTGATACCAAGAGGGATATTTTTTAAAATTTCATCTAATTAATTATACTATCCAATAAAATTATGAGATTATACTCAGAGTGAAGAAACAAGGTTTATAACATAAGAATCTGTATTCCTTTCAGAAAAAAATAGCTTTCCCTTGATTAACTGAAAATAGCATTCTAGTACTTCATTATCCAATGTCTTTAACCACTATTATAATTAATTTAACCACATTTCTTGAAGTGCATAGCCAGTATTATGGTACACCTATGACCAGATGAGGGCATCTCTAATGCGCACACAAAACGTGCTAATGCTAATGGCAACTGGAGGGTTTCGGTAGGGGATTCGCAACGGTTTGCGGAATGGGGGTTACGGCTAGAGGGATATGGATGAGGATGGGGGTGGGGGGTGGGGGGTCAGAGGTCAGGGGTGTTTTCGTACCCGCACACGCTGCCGTTGTCTTGATGTCAAATGTAAGTGGCACTGCAGCCAAGGCTGCTGGCGGTTGACGTTCGGCGGTTGACGGCTGGCGGCTGGCGGTGGGCTTCGAGCTGAGTGCGCCAGCATCTGTATCTGCATCTGCATCCGAACAGAAGTCGCTAAATATGCACTAAAAAAATTAACAACTTCAAACAAAAATTAAAAAAAAATGTAAGTACATTTAAATTGTGTTACTTCCAATTCAAATCTTTTAAAATCAATATACCATTAGCAGAAAGTCATGTAATGATTGATAGTTGTTGCTTTGATAACTCTCAATAACTTTACATTCAGTATTGTATCAGCACTTTGTATATACCATACATATTAGTAGAAAAATCGAAATAATATTTTAGACATCATATTTACACCCCCCTTTTTTCCAAGTGCACTGAGCCAAGCATCGGAAAAGCTGCGCTCATGGTGGCAAGGGCATAACTATAGCTGCAGAATAGATTGTGTGTACAAATTGAGAGGATATATATTTTTTCTCATTTCTGCAAACTGAATCGCTGTTTGTCGGATGCTCACTGATATTGTAGTTAGGATGCGAGGAGGAGCAGTCCCGCCTCCGCCTTCGCATTCGCCTTTGCCAGGACTCCCTTCGCCACTCCCGCGATTACAATCAATATAAATCACATTTACCCAGAGCGAAAATGCTTTCTACTTCAGCGAAGAAGCCAAAAATTCATACGCAACAGGGGAATTTGCTACTTTTTTTACGATATGCGAATGCGTGTGTGTGGCTGTGTGTAAATGTTTATATATTGTACAACAGCAGACACGGGCAATGAAAGAGGGACCGAGGAGTGCAGAGGGGTTTACAGATGGCGCCGGCTCCATCTTTGCTCCTACTATTTCCACTTTCGACTTACCGCGTCTATTTTTTTCCATTTGCCCAGGATACAAAAATACGAAAACCCCAAAAAAGCCAACAGGCAGGCAAATATGCAACAAATTCTCATTCAAAACACGCACGCAAATTTCTCCAATTCGCTGCTAGAGAGAAAAAAAGGGAAACGCTGGAAAAGTGGGGTAAAAGGGGCCACCTGGCGATGCGAAACCGATGCGAAGTGTAATAGAATGAGGATCGAAAACGTACAACAAAGGATGGCATAATAATAAAAAATTTAAGATGTGTAAAAAACATAAAAAGAAAATTCATTTGCGCCAAATTTGTGGATTTCACCTTAATCTTTTCATGGCTCTACCTTCCCCCCGCCCACTTCATCCCGCAACAAAGTGTGCGAAAATCGATGTACCTATTGAGTGGGTTTGCACTTCCTCCATTTTATCCCGCTAAAAGTTACGGCCGGGAAAGGGTTACGCCCTCGTCCCTTTTTATTGGTTTTGTGGCCAGCAAAAAAGGGGGCGGGGCCGTGGTACTACGGTGGCTCCTAGATCCCCGAGGTAGCCGTAAGAGCTATTTAAGTTGACTTGTCCTGCCCTCGAGTTTTACAATCGCTTATTCGGAATTACGTGCTCCACATACAAGTGTGTACTATGTGTGTAGATTTCGTGGCCTATTTGATGATGTATGCCCCGTAATAAGGAAGCTGTACATACAGACTCGTATGGCTGTGGCTACGAAAAGAATCTCGAATTCACACTAGATATGGAAATGGAAATGGACAACGGAGCGCTGTTGACGATGCCCACTACCTACTTGGCGATCCGCTTCAATTGAATTAATTGAAATTCTTCGCTCAACTAAGCGACCGCACACAAAAACGAATCTGTGAGCTCATGAGAACTTGTAAATACGAGCAGCAATCACAAGTTTAGTTCCTTCATTCAAGTCTTAATTTTTAGGGCAGCTCCACAGTGCGGGGCATGTGGATAGGTCTGTATTCCGTTTAATTTGAGGATTACAATCGGCTAAATTATAATTTAAATTCTACACAAACCAAAATCAATAGAAACTTAACACTTGAAGGGGCCAGAATTGTAATTCCTCAGGTCATACATGCAATTGTAATTTAAACAAGAAGGCAATGGAGTAAAGCTCTATAATTGATGCGTCAACTTGCATTCGAATCGATTGGATGAGTAATTTCAATTAATTACAGACATTTCATCTCATCTCAAAAGTTCTATGTAGCTTTCTATTAGTTTGGCAACTAGAGATGTTTTCGTTACAAAAGGCCAGTTGTATCTTAAACGTAACTTAAATTTGGGTCAAGTGTTATCAAACACATTAAAGATTAAATTTAATAAGCAGATGCTAGAAGTATAAAATGTTTCATTCAAGTTCCTGTATAATTTAAAATTTAAATGAATAAAAATATTTCTGACTCATTTTCTTCTTTTTCCTTTTAATTAATGAATGTGGATAGGAAGTACTTGGAATTCCAACTTGAGACATTTATTTTGCGGTCAAACGGGACATGGCGACCCCATAAAATGAGGGTGAGAACATAAGAGTCTCGGTAATTCATTTGGCACCTTTGAGGAACCCACATGATGGCACTTGATCGTCTTAAGCGCTAAAAGTGCATAATGCCGGACTCATAAGTGGACAAAAATTGAATCTCCCCAGCGTGTGGATATAATCCCGGCAAGCGTATTAGGAAAACCAAGTGGGGAAAAACAGGGGACCAGCCTAATCTATTATGCGCCTGGACAATCTGCTCGTGTGAAAAGCCGTCGGCGGTGGTGATTTAAGATCCGAGTTTTCCATCTCAAAAACAGAACTGAAATTGTAACGAGCGAGAGAGCCCGATTAAGTAATCTCGCATCTGAATGGAAGGCGGCTATTTCGAGGCGAGTCGAGTGCTTCTATTTCAATTTCAGTTTCAATTCGACTATATGCGGGATAGTTCAGATGGCCGGCTTAGTCAGTCAGTAATCAACTGCAGTTCGGGGTGGAAAGTGTCGTCGTCGAGTGGAAAGTGGGCGGGGAAATCGCTCTTCTTGTTGCGGAATTGACTCGCACCAATACAAATACCCAATGCTACGCATATATGAGGGCGATCTCTCGCACACACACACGGATTTTCACACACACTGCGAGCGTAATGAATTGATGGTTATTTTCAAAAATCCAACGACTGTCCGCGCGATCACTGCACAAATCAGTTGTGGAATCGCCCTCGACCGGCAATGTTCTCCGCGTTCTCGAACTCGGACCTCCGATCGCAGATCGCAGATCTCATATCTTGGACCACCGAAACCCCAACTGTGAAATAATTCCAAATCGAATCTCTTCAAGGAATTGTAAAACTCGGTGCTTAACACAATCTAGCTTTTGCCTTCAAAATACTCAATAATTATAAACTCTATAAATATATACATATACGTTTGAGATCGATGACTACTGGTCAATTCTCCGAGCGGGGTTAAGACCCTTCCATGGCGCGATAATCGCAATCATCGTTCTCGTCGTCAACAGCGGCAACAGGCACACCAGCAACACCAACAGCAGCACCAACAGCAACACCAACAGCAACACCAACAGCAACACCAACAGCAACAGCAGCAACATGGAAAGCAGCAACATCAGCGATGAGTGTTCGCCTCGTGCGGATCTCTATCTCACACCCACTCTCTCTTCCCGATTCTCCGGAATATATAAGTATGTATGTGATACTGCAGCATTTCCTACATAATTCAGTTCATCTCAGCTTAAAGCAATGCAATTTATTTAAAAGGCCTCGTATAAATATTAAAAGGAAAGAGCTGCTCAATGAAGAAAGAAAATATAAAATTTTAATCTAATTGAAAAATTTGAAATTTTACCATAACCTAATTTTTAATGAACAAATTATATACTGATTTTTAAACTGACGAAATCATTTGACTTTCACCAAATTATGAATTTTTTTTTTTTTTTGCATATTTTTCATATTTAATTAAATTTTTGTTTAAGAACACTCTCCAAAAAATATAATTTAATTGAGATAAGAATTTATCTCTTTGATATAAACCTATTGAGTATCTGAATCACTGGCAATAAATTAAATTCCACTCGAATCTCAACCAATTGACGCCCTTAAAGATGAAATTCTATTAAGCCAAATCAAAATTGGCTGCGATGACAATAGCCGTAGTTAATGCAAATCAGGAAATGCAACAGATTTTCAACGTTGTTTTTGTTGTTGCTGGCTTGTTGTTGTTCTTATGGCCGCTGCTTAAATGGACTCACTTAACTAAGTGTTATTGTACTCTGATTAATCTATGTATATTCTAATTTAGCTGATGAATGCATTCAGCCAGCTATTTATTGTGCTCCGTTTGTGCATCTTGCGCTGACAAATTGTTGAATGTGAGAGCTCCTCTGATGTTTTTTTGACAAGTACTTGACGCTCCTGCCCCGGCGGCAACAGCAATCATAATCGGGCGATGCGATGCGGCAACAATAAGACTGTGCAGCAGCAGCAACAGCCACATTGTATGTAGTTATATTCGTTTTATTCGTTTAAATTCAATTGACTTTGAATGCTCCAGCAATGAAGGCAGCAAGGCAGCCAAGGCAGCAACAAAAACACACAGACACACAGCGATGTTGTCGACGTTGTCGTCTGTCATGGAGCAATTTTGAACGCTGTCGGCAAATACGGGCAACGGGCAAACGGGCAACGGAAAACGAATGAGGGTCAATTAAGCCAATTTAAATTTAATAAACTTATGTATTATGTGCAAGAGGTTACTAGCCGTACACGACTTTGCAATGATACACATCTACATTCGAATCGAGCGGCGGGCGGGTGAGGAAATATAAATATTTTTCGGGGGAGGACAGCATTTCGAGCAGACAGTTGCCACAGAAGGTTAAGTATCTCGAACAGATAGATATTAATAACTCAAAAACTAAACGATAAGAGGCATAGTTCAGAATACATTAACCTTGCACAAACACACACATTTACATTTATCTCCGAACGGATGGAGCATCTTCAAGCTGTCAATTGTGAGCGATCCAGAGAAAGTACTTCCATACTAATTGATTTATCATTTCAGAACTTGCAACCAGGGAGCGGAGATCAAGGCCCACAGATCAAGGGTGACTATGGGATATATATTTAACGAGTGATTACTTACCGAGTTCGCTTTCCTAAGTACTAGTGCCGCAGGAGTTAGGTTCCTATCCGCAATACCTCCTGCTGCCCAAGTGCTTATTAAAGCGACGAGTTGTCCATCAATGAAGAAGTGACCAGTGATTCGATTCCATTTAGTTATAATTTAATTGTATTTAATATTTCTCCTAATAGTTACAAAAACTAGGCTTGACAAATTATACTAATCTTTGCGCTTGCTGTTCGTATTGCACGAGGCAATACTCCAAGATACATACATTTTTAATCCGATATATATAACTATCCTCAAGCTGTTGGGTGTCCGCTCCAGGGAAGAACGGCCAGATTCGGAATTCAGAATTCAGAATTCAGTGTTTAGAGTTCACAGTTCAGAGTTCAGAATGGCGGGGCTCTGGAAGGGACACACTCCCTCCGGATCGCTCCGAAGATTTGTACACACGTTGCGGCGTAGCAATTGTTTTATAAATGCTTAATTTACTCCTAGATGATGGGGGGCAACACAACGTACATCGAAGCGAACGGCGTTTCGTCCTCACAATAAATTATGACCTATGACCTATGTACAGTTGTCGGTTGTCGGTTGTCAGTTGTCAGTTGTGTGTTCGGTTGGAGCAGTTAGACAATTTCAAATTACAGGGAGAGTCTGTGTAGGGAGTCCCGGCCTGCTATATAATCATAATCGTAATCATGTATGTACACTTCGCTTATAACCGATACTTAGGACTACAACTTAGCTCTAGTTAAATACACGTACGTGGTAGCTACACTTAAACACTCGGGCTAATCGAAACGAAAATCAATAGGTAATACTTTCATAGAGGATATGGACATGATATTCTCACAAATGCGACTCCCGCAGCACTCTGCCGGGAACTCTGGAAGAGTGCAGGTCCTGTTCAGATTAAATGGATATATATATACGTTTATTGGTATACTAAATATGGCGTAAATTAGTTGCAATCGGCCTGCTCAGTTTGCTTTCTGTTTGTTTGTTTGTTTGTGTTGGTTTTTGGCGCACAACAATGACCTTGGGTTAGCTTAGCGAGCGTTAGGATGTCGGCGATATGTTAAGTTGACAGCTTTTGATTTCGGAATATAGGAAACAGGATATAGGATATGTTAGGGAAACAGGATATCGGGGGATATGGTGTGTGGGTGAAACGTTAAACGATATGTTCTTTAGAAGTAGTTTCGTTCGCTCTTCCCTTCCTTTCGATGAGAATATTCCTTATCGGGCTTAATTACAACAACAGATGACAACGATTATTTACAAAACGAGTGTATTGCAGTTACACTTTTGGCATTGCATTAAGTACACAAGATGCTTACGAGCTAGAAGAAGTCTTTCCTCAAACCATGCGAATAAATACGTCTAGCTGCTAGGATATTATTCGATACGATGCGGTACGATACTCATGTATTAATACATTTGCCACTCTATATCTTTTGGTTTTACTTTCTTTTTTTTTTTTTTGTACACTCAGAAGTAAGTATGGGTGTGTGAGAGCTTTATATACAACTTTCCTGTATGCGATTCGAGGTGGTTACGATCTCCGGACCGGTGCGAAATCTGTATTCGCTCAGCGACGACGTCACCGACGGATTGTTCGGACTCAGCAGACTGACCTCCATGGGCTGGGGCGTCAGGTGGTACGAGGAGGAGGGCGTCGAGGTGCTCACGTTGTAGTTCAGCGAACCCAGCGGCGGACTGCACGTGGTGATGCCCTTTTTGTTCAGTGTAGCATAGCTCTGTGCGGTATGGTAATCGGGTTTGGTTTTTTTTTTGGGAAGAAAGCGGGAGAGGAAAGCCACAAGATGAGCACCATGAAATAGGGTATGATATACCAACAACCAAAAGCGTTTAAGCCTAAGCTGGCAAACTATCGAAACTATCGAAATCTATCGATGTTTTTTAGATATACAATAAAAAACTGAAAAACTGAAAGTTTGCCAGCTTTTATTTTAGATTCAGATACTCACGATCTGCTTGCTGGGCCGGAAAGTGTAGTGCAGCACCTCGTTCCCGGAACTGCTCATCAGCCCGATGCTGGACAGCCCCTCCGCCGCCCCCAGTCCCCCCTCGCTCGCCCCCTTCGAGAGCTCCGCATCCCGCAGGTAATCGCGCTGCATCAGTCGATTCGAGGGGCTGGCGAAGCCCGGCGGGGAAACCAGGCTCTTCAGCGGACGTTTTTCTGCAAGAATATTAATGAGGAAAGCCAAATAAGTAACTGAGGATTGGGTAAGGTTCAAAACAGCTGGTGCCCTAGCCTTTTATTAATTATTCTGAAATTATGTAAGTGAAAATTAAGCTTACGAAAATGTATTTCTTATTGATTACATTGTAACGAATTGTATTTAGTAATACAACTAGTGTAAGGCTCATATATTTTCTTGACCAACCGATACTCACCATACTGATTTGGTATTACATCGGGATCGGTGTCGTCTATATCGGCCTGATCGGCCATGGGACTGTGCCGAGTGCGGGCCGTCGAGCGGAGTGTGTCGCCGGACATGGCCACCAAGCCGATGGGCGAGCTGCCCTTCAGCCCGCCCTCTAGGCCAACGCCCCCTCCTCCACCCACACCGCCCACATCGCCGAGGGCGGGGCAGTCGACCGCGCTGCGACCGTCACAGTTGAGCGGCAGGAGGCTGTGGTGGGGCTGGTGGTTGCCGGATCCGTCCGGCTGGACGCCAGGATGCAACGGGTCCAGCTGGCAGTCCGCCGGAATGGTGAGCTGCGTGTGCTTGGCCACCTTCAGATTGCTGTCGCTGCGCCTGCAATTTAAATTGGAGGGCCATTAACGCAAAGCCGCAGCCATTAGCCATTAGCCAGTGGCTGTTAGCCGGTAGCTGTTAGCTCTTAGCTGGTTCGTACCGATTGGAGAACCTCCGGTAGATGGCCGCCAACATGATGCAGAAGATGGCGAAGAGCAGGCCGCACATCAGGGTCAATCCGGCCAGGAATGGCGAGAGGGGCATCGAGAGGCCGGTGGAGGCGCCTGCGAGGCCGCAATTAAATTATTGCCACATAATTCCCAATTACCAAGGGTTCTCGGACCGCGGCACTCACCTGTGAACTTCGCCACGCCCTTGAAGTTGATGTCGTCGATTATGGTGGGCTCCGAACGACCTTTGGCATTAACGGCGAATATCACCATGCGATAGGTGGCCGCCTGGTCTAAATTGTCTATCACAAAGGTCACCGGCGTGTGCTAAATAATTAAGGGGAATGCAAACAACGAACGAACGAATTTATGAATTAGTTTTCGAGTGTTTAAATTGAAATGCCATTAAAAATGTTTAGTACATTTTGACCCGCTCTTTAAGACCCATTTTATTACAGCTCAGTATTTAAACAAATTTAATTTATGGCAAAGGCTTTCGGGAAAATACATAAAAGGTTGCATCATAAATAATTAAACTTTAAAGCACTGACTTTAATGCGAAATTTTAGATCCCATAAAACATAGTTTGAACAGAACTCTTGGAGTCGTTTTAAGGCGCCCTTCAAATTATTTTTTCTTGCAAAATAACTTCATTAATTGTCTGGCAAACATGGCCTAACATCTTTAAAATAATTTATTCAACCAATTATTGCTTTTTTACGGGAATTCACCATTTAAAAAAGAGGGCGCCTTAAAGTATGCAACATCTTCCGGCGCTTATCTACGGTTCCCCGGAACACTTCACGGCAATTAATTACACAGAACCCTCATTGGCTAGGGAAGCATCCCGATAAAGCGGTCCACTGCGCCACCCGCCCAGTAATTAAGACGACCGGTCGGCTTACCGAAACCGTGATGTTCCTGGCCAGCCGCAGAGTGTTCAGCTCGACGAGCTCCAGCATGAATCCCTGCGGAAGTCCGCCGTCGAATCCCTCCAGGCAGTCGACTTGCAGCGAGTCCACCGACTGATTGGTCACCGAGCAGTTCTGCAGGGGGAACGGCCGACCTGCGGATAGAGTTATATTCACCCCTGATTAACTGGGCCAAATCAAATAATGGCGCTGATGATGAGGGCTGCTTACCGGCTGCCACAATCTGGAACACGCAGGGACTCTTCTGCGTGCCAATCGAGTTCTTCGCCCAGCAGGATATCGTTCCATAGTCGAGGTCCGTGCTCGGTGTGTAGTTCAGTCGCGACATGCCCGTCTTGAGTGGAATATATAGAGTATATAGATAGATACACAGATAGTTAGCAAGTGCAAGTGCTACCTCGCTGGAGTGGAGGCGGGCTGGCAGTTCCGTCTGCTCGCCGGACGAGTTGAAGGTCCAGTGGAAGGAGTCCGCCGGCGGCGAGGAGTCCACCTCGCATTTCAGTGGCAGGGTCTCGTGCTTGAGGGCCCCCAGCAGCTCCTCGTGGTCCGTGGCACAGATCGGGGCGTCTATCGAAGACAAGTGAGTAATCAGAGCGCTTATTGAAATATTTAACGCCCCATCAAGCCGTTCGAACAAAACGATTGGCGATATGCAGGCGGAAGCGATTGGCAATGCACTCGAAAAAAATTGGGTCAAAGGATATTGTTCAAAATAAAAGTGAAAAGAAATAAAGGAAAATACTTTCTGCACTACCAAATAAGCAAACTTCTTAATAATAAACCGA